ATTCTATTTCAAAGTGAATTTCATTTCAAATATATTGTTGATACTTATGTTGTTTATGTTGTGTAGATATCTATTCTCCATCCTACTTGGGATCATGTGGAGGAAACTGTCGAGAACTTGTTATGGCAAAATCTTCTTGTAAGTATGTGTATTTAGTTGTTTATATTATTTATACATTATTATCAATTGGTTAACTAAAACTTGTTTGCTATCTGTAGGAACACTTTGATATAGTCAATTATGAGGATGTGAGGAGGAAGATAATGACAGCCATAACAAAAATGTGGAGACAGTTCAAGTCCACATTGACCACTAAATGGGTGTATGTTGAGGACAAAGTTAGGAAGGGATTAACCCCTTGCCAAAGATATGGAATAGATGAGGACACTTGGAAGAAGTTTGTACATAGTAGGACTTGGTTCGAGTGGGAGGTAATGTTAATTGCTTAATTGACTTGAACATTTTATAATGAGTTATGTATCTAATATTGTGTTTAATTATGTTGCAGGAAAGAAGACAAAAAGCAAAAGACATTCAAAGCAAGAATGTCGCCCCCACCTTCGTCTCGTGGTGGGTACGACCTATTGACTAAGAAGATGATGGAGGAGAAGATTAGACTTCGACGGTCGGAGTTAGCCTCTTCGGTTTAAGCGAAGAGCAGATTCCTCCACCATCTCCTCAAAAACGTCACCAGAAGTGGAAGAGGGCTCGTACAAAGCCTTCGGTGACATGACATCGCAGGAAGCCCGAGAAATTGCTGCTCGGATTGTAAGTAAAAGAAGTTAATTTACTTTGAATTAGTTATATGTAACATGTTCATTAATAAAATTAACTTTTATAATGTAGGATGCCTTGGAGGAGCAGTGTACACAGGGAACTTTCATCCCTTCTGGTCGTCAGGATATCTTGACCGCTACTATTGGACGACAAGAACATCCAGGTCGTGTTCGAGCTGTTGGCCAAGGTGTGAGTATCCGAAAGTATTTTGGACCACCATCATAGGATATCCGCACCTCCACATCCCTGAGCCAAGAAGATATTGCTGCCTTGGAGATACTCTCACAGAGAAATTGACACCAGCCATCAAGGCAAAATTGGAGGAAGAGTTGACTCATGCTATCAGCGCACGACTTGAGGAGACCATCACTACACGTGTGCAGGAGCAGTTCCTGCGTATGACCTCCATGGGTACTTCATTTGCTGATGTTCATCCTCCATTAGGTGCATTTTCAACCACAAATTGGTACTTGATTTGTGTTTCTAAAATCTTAGTCCTTATTTGAATTTACTGTATTTGTAGGTCCAAGAGTTAGCACAAAGGGCAGTTGTGCTGAAGCCACTATCGAGGTCACACCTGAGGTGACATATATTCATCCTGAATCCACAAAGGATGATCGATATGGCTTATGGGTTGAGGTAGATGAAGGTCTAAGACTAGTGGCCCATGGATCAGTTCATGAAGGGGATTCAACCATCCACAATGTGCCTTTGGATCCTAACTTGGTCAAAGTAGTGGTTGAAAAGGTGGTTCACGCTGAGGCTAGTGTCCCTATCCCCACTGAAGAGGTGCAGACAGTGGGGCAAGCCCTTCGAGACCTTCATTACTTGGCCTAGACATTTAGTTAGGTCAATCATGACAAAGGTATGTATATGTATGGTTATAATACATCTAACACATAAATAAATTAATTTATTGTTTATGATTATATTTTATAAAATATGTAGGATGTTCAACAGCCAAAAGACTTGGGTAAAGCTATTACCACTCCTTCTGGATCTAAGGAGAAGACACCAGTTGTGGGGACTTCTCCAAATCTAATTTTTGATCTCTTGTCTCTTTCCCCACAATTGTATATGCAGTCATTCCAAGTTCAATGGGATTCTACATTATTTGGGATGGCTTCTAGCAATATCCCCCTATACATTTCCCACACTGATGCCCTGGAGATTGGGATGGGCAATCAATGTCTAAATATAGATGTTTTACAATTTTGGACATTGTAAGTTCATATCTTTCATGACTCTTTTCATTTTAGTAAATATCTAAGGTATAAGTTCACTTAAATTGGCATATTTTAGGATGATGCATGAAATCATAGTGGAGCAGGGCATTGATCATGTGTATGGATTCTTCGAGCCTCAATCCATACAAAAGTCTGGGAATAAGCGTGATCAAATTCTCAGTTACATGCAGAATTGGATGACTGATTCTAAGAGAGATATTTACCTTGGAGCATACCATCATTCGTAAGTTATCCCACCCTCTTCTGGTTTTACACAAGTTTTTTTAATAGATTCTAATCATGTGTATATACAGAAACCACTGACAACTATTAGTTATTTGTCCAAAGCAGAATCTTGTGTGTTGGTTCTGCTCATTGGGAAGAAAACCTGACATGGAGCTAAAAAATATTGTAAACGAGTAAGTATTTCTTATATTATGTCTAAACATCTTGATTATTCTATTTCTAAGCCCCTTCTTTTCAATATATAGTGTTTTAAAGGTTTGTAGTACATTAGATGGAAAACACACAAGTAAAAGCACAACTCCAAATTGGAATTTTATCAAAGTAAGTAGCCTTTATATATATATTATACTATACTGTTTTATGTTCAAATTTAATAGTTATTTTTAACATATTTAGTTATTTTTAGTGTAACAAACAAAATGGAGGAGGATACTATGTAATGTATTGGATGTGGCTCATCATTTTTGGTAGCATACAGGATAGTTGGAATGATGTAAGTTGACATTTGCTATTATATTCAATTCCTTTATTTTTATTGCTTAGGCTTTACCATTCTATTTGTGAACTTCTTATAGGCATTTAAAGATATAGAACCTTTGCCTATGGAAACTATAGATATGGTTAGAAACAAATGGGCAGAAAAGTTTGTCCAAATAGTTAGGAATATGATTGATTGACAATTTTTTGTGTATTTTGTACATAATTTGGCTGATTTTGACATATATATCTATCATTTTATATATAGTAATATATAGTGATTAGCTGAAATATATATACTGTCAATGACTGAGATTATAGCAGGTCGTATATCTGTTGGTAGCACTAAAAACAGAGTAATTATTAAAAAAAGGGCATCTTCTACGTCGGTTAATGCAATAACAGACGTTGTACTGAATATACAACGTCGGTTATTGCATCAACCGAGCGTAGTATTTAACTCTCAGCGTCGGTCATATCATTAGCTTAGGCGTTGTGTATATAACATTCAACGTCGGTTAGATAAATAATCGATGTAGAAATTACACATTTCTACGACGAACATTGGTTTAACCGACGAAGATATTTACACGATTCTACGTCGGGTTTTCTGAATCGACGTAGAAACCTTTGACATTCAACGACGCCTGATTCAACGACGCTATTAGAAACGACGTTGAAAGCCTTCTACACCCGACATTGAATGATCATTCTGTAGTAGTGTACGAAGAAAAAGAAAGAACAAAAGGTGTAATTATAAAAAAATATTCTTATTATTTATTTGAAGTTCATTTTCTATTTCTCCTCTTTGATTATGTGTATGGGTATGTGTGTGGTGAGACATGGGCGTGTGTGCATGTATATAAGCGTTCTTGGGCATGCATGTTCATAAGTGCATATATGTGTGGGTTTGAGTGCATTTTGTGCTAATTGCGTGTGTATGTGTCTGGATGTGCGCATGTGCGTGTGCTTGCATGCGGGCATAAATGTGTGTATGGATAAGTTGGAGCGTATCCACAAGTAGGCGTTTGTTTGTGTGTTGACATCAAAGTTGTGATCAGATTTTGATTGAAGTTCGCGAGGTAAAAAATACCAGAATGAATAAAAGGGTGAGAGTTCAACTAAGATAAATGGACCTATTATTATTATTATTATTATTATTATTATTATTATTATTATTATTATTATTATTATTATTATTATTATTATTATTATTATTATTATTAATATGTTAACCTTGTTATAAGAAATATTAATTATTCACATCTATCTTAACAACTAAAACAAAACACAATCTTAGAATTTTTTTTTCAATTGAAAAATAAGAAAAAAGTTATGATAAATAAATTACTAAAAAAATTTGAAATAAATAAATTAATTATTTACTCTTATTCAAGGATATAATTATGACTAATAATATAATATAATATATTTATATAATTTCTAGAGTTTAGTCAAATAGTTTTCGTAACATCCAATCAATTTTTAAGTTATATTTTATCTATTAGAAAACAAATTCAAATATTTCGTACTTTAACTTTAAATTAATAGCGATAATGAAGAGAGAATAGAAAATGAAAAATGAAAATACAAAAACATAAAGAGGTATAAAAAGAATGACAAAAGGAAAAATTCAATCTGTAAAATAGAAAAAATGACGTAAAAGTTAATTACTAATGAGAGTTTGGTTTAATCTATTTAAAAGTTTTTAATAGTGATTAATAAATGAGACTGGATTATGGGTTAAAATTGTAATTATGATCCAATTGTAAATGTTCAACCCCAATTCTAGATTGAAACACAACAAATATATTTAAACTTCGTAAATCATAGAAAATATTATGAAATTTAAAATCTAAAAAATTATATGTCTATTTTGAAACCCCATATATAAAGAATCAATATAGAATAAAAAACAAAAAAATCATACATGTAAAGAAAATTATAGAAAAAAAAATTAAAATTAACTAAAAATATAGAATTAAAACACATGAAAGAATTTAAAGTATATAAAATTATAAATGATATATATATATATATATATATATATATATATATATATTCATTTATTTTTTTGAGTTGGTGGTGATACAAAGTTTAAAATTAAGAATTTAGGGTTTAGGGTATTGGTTTTTGCTGAGTGGTGGGAATGAGCAAGTGCTATCATTGATAGCTGTAGACCAGGTGGTGGAAAGAAGAACATATTGCATGCAGACTTGAACTTTAATTTGGATGCATGCATCAACTTGAATTCTATATGCTTTGTTTGGCAGGCTACAAATGCCAGACACGCAACTTTATTCCACTTGTTGGCTGTCCAAAGGCACTCGATACCTTCATCTACACTAGCATGATGAAGTCAATCACAGGTCAACAGTAGCTACAGAACTATATATATATATATATATATATATATATATATATATATATATATATATATATATATATATCTACAACAGCAGTACTCAAACCTTCTTAAATTCTAACCTATGAAGAGTCTGTTTTTCATGCTCATGCTCGGTGTTGGCTGCAATTGCCGCATTAGTCTTTTCTTGAGTCTATACATAAGCATCAACTTTCCGAGTCACGAGCATCATCTAGGGGCTTGTCATGAGCACCAGCTTGGGCCTTAACCGCGGGTTCTACTCGTGCCTGAGTATCAAGTTTGGCTTGCAGCTCAGCCTGAATATATTCCAAAACTTGTCATGCATGATGATTGTGGAGTGCAAGGCAAGCCTGGTCGAATACCCCAAAAGATGACGTTAATGAGATAGTGTTTTGGTGACGCATTGTTGCCATGTCGTCAACAACGGCTAGCAAGATCACGAACTTAACTTGTCCAAGAGACTCTGCATAGCCTTGAAATGCCTCTAAACTTCTTGAATGGTTCCAAAAGGCGGAACATATGTCTCCTTCATCTTTATCAACCTGGAGGACAGACAACGACGCCATGTGGGTAAGGATAAGTGCTTTATGGTGCCAAGGGGAAGGTTCAGGTATTCTTAACAGTGGTTGAGAGGACTGGATGTGCTTAAGGTACTCGTTGCTTAAGGTAGTAACTTTCTCATAATGAGTTTCAAGTGGTTCAATCGAACATTGGTAGCTGTTTAGAGTGAGGAGAGTTTAGGGGAAGTTTGGTGTAGGCTTTGTTTTCGGGGAAGGTGAAGGATGGGCCATTGGTGGGTCTGGGCAATTACAGGTTGGTGTGGCGGGCTACTTAATCTACAGTAGGTTTTGGTTGAGGGATGCTGAAGGGGTTAGATGTTTAGGTCGATAGCTGGTTGATCGCCTAATATTGGTGGAGTGGCTAGCCTCGAATGGTATATCACTCAATTTGTTGGTGGCGTGCTAAGAAGTTGTTTGTCTTAAGGGAGGGTTTGGGCCATGTCTCAAAAACTTCTGGAACTGCTTCTGTATGGTTGGAATCAGCGCTTGTTGCAGATACAACTCGCTCGGTTTGTTGATCAAACCGTCCATGACCATTGGGAAGACATTTGATGACTGACACATCAGCTGACTCGGTTGTCTTTTCAACAAGTACATGGCTGCTTGGGAGATATCTTTTGGCATGGCCCTGCAGTCATCTTTTTAGTGGTTGGAGGCGTCTTAGGCTGCTTACGCCTTCGTTTGAAACACTTTTCTTTTTTAGCGGCCAGCTTTGCTAACTCATTCATCTAGCCCATCAACACTGAAAGATTTAAACTTTTGATGATCAATGTGCCACTGGAAACTGATTATCCAAATAGTGCTGTGCAACATGCTCGATCTTAGGTTTGGGTTCGTGGATGGTTGGTCTAGTTCCAAATGCCTTTGTTTTGTACATTTTTTAAACTTATTATGGGTTGCTAAAAAACAACGCCACTTCTATCAATAATTCGCTGAAACTGAACCTGAATAAGTTTGTGGGAAAACTTGGCCTACACTCTCTTCCTTATCAGCTTGGTCAGCAAGGTAGTGTATATAGCATGTCAGACTGATAAATACCTAATCACGGACTAGGAATACAGCGTTTCCCGCAAATTTTCCGAATAACCACGGTGTGAAAAACGATTTTTTTTATGCAAGTTATTTTTAACATCATCGAGTATAAAGTAGGCTAGTTTTAATGACGTGGAAAGTGGATAAAATATACAAAATGACACTTTATATAGGTTGTTTATAGAATGTAATTTGTGATATTTTTTCGAAAATTCTAATAATTTATTTTGTATAATCAGGTCTGTTTAATTTTCTCAACTAAATTAATTATAACGAACTTATAAAAATAATAATGTGCTTTTTTTAATGAAGGAATTATATCATAAATTTAGTAAAAAAATATAAAAAAAGTTTAAATACTAACGTGAAGGAGAAGAACGGGTGGCAGAGACAGTGGAGGGAAGAAATTCAACCTACAATAACAACAAAAAAAGAAAAAGTAGTAACTAATTTATAAAAACCGTGGGAAAGAGGAAAAGTAACGGTGGAAAGGAGTTCCAAGTGGTGATCTCACTTATGGAAAAGGTGAAGAACACAACACCATGATATAATGGAGGTGTTCACTTCCAATTCGTAGAGAAAAAGGAGAGATAATTCATCTTAGCGTGGAGGAGAAAATGCAAACAGTGAGAGCGTGTAATTCTCTAAAAAAAAAAAAAAATTTCTTATATAAACTTGTTTTCTCTTCTTTGAAAGCCTTTACTCTTTTACATGAACGAGTGGTAAAATTTCATCCTCATACTAGTCTAAAGCATATCATATACGAATTGATAGTCTTCTACCATATAAGAAATGGATTAAATAAATAAAAATTTCACAAAAAAATAGTAATTTAACAAATGTATTAGAATTACTATTAGAAATATAAAATAAAAAATTTAAAAAAGAAATTAAAAATAATCAAATTATAAGAAATAGATCAAGATAATCTAAGGGACGAAAATAATTTAAATATCTAACACAAAACTCAACTAAAAATAAAACTATACCATAAGAGAAACACATATAATGTTTTTTATTTTGTTTATCATACTTAACATAAATAAAAACTAATTAATTAGGTATTCACTGACTCATTTACAATTTACTTAATTTATATTTTAATTTCTCAATATTTAAACTCAAATTTAAAATAATTTTCAAAATATAAATATTATCCTTAACTTATAGTTATATGTTTAAACATCAATCTAAGATAAAAAAGATTTTCCAGTAATTCAACTAAAAAAATTATGTCCCGTAATTAATAATCATGAAAATATTACTCACAGTAAAAAAAAAAAAAAAAAAGGTCAAAGACACCAACATTAGCAGTAGAAGATCAAGACAATACACCCGAACAAATACCTGTATAGATAGATACCTCACTCAGATTTTTAGCCATCCACAATTTTGAAGTAGGACCAACACCATATCAGCGTTGAAAATATCACCAGAATCAACACAGTTACCAGGCAACCAAAATGAACAATAGCAGGGGCACCGAATGTACTAAACACCGAATCTGTTCGATGAAATGCTTCAACACCTCGTTGCACCAGTATTTGGACGAACCACGTTGCTATGTTTGTTAACAAATTTCATTTTCCAAATCAGCACATCATGCTCAGTTTTTCCGACGAACAGAATTATCGAATGAACAATTTGAATGATATGAATCTCCATTATTGGATCAAATGGTATCTGCTGAATTGAATTTGCTTTTGGCACTGAAACCCGAACAGAAGAAGCCACCTCGTGCTTCATCACAACGCTTACACTGTTACGCACCTGATTGAATCAAGGCAGTTTAATGTTGTTTTCCATTAATTCAATCAAGAATGCCACCACCAACTGAGTAAAGAAACAACAGCACGACTTAATTGACACAGAAACGCTTGGAGTAACGCGATTTGAATTCAATTGCATAAATCTGCACCTTTTCACGTTGAATTACCACCATAATATCAGATTGAAATCAAAGGCACCTATTGCGAGATCAACCAAATCAATCGCCGAACAGTATAGAAGAATGAAGTTTGCTTCGAATTGAATGAATTATGCCGCTTGGATGAAACAGCTGCTTGGTTCGATCCCCCACACTTTGAATAATTGCCTAACGCTGCTACGAGTGCTTGGTTCAAGAAGAGTCACCAAAATTTCATCACCGGAAGCTTTAAACTGATTGCACCGACGATCTCCTTCAATGTAAACAAGCACTTACTGTTTGTTTCAAATTTCAACATCTTTTGTTCCTGAAACAGCTTCTGATTGAATTAAAAACTGCATCAATAAATAAAAAAACACCTACCAGAAACAGTACCCGCACCTAATTCAACTCAATTTAATTGCTATAACGGCACCGTATGCATCAATTCAAAACAATTGTAATCCAAAAATATTCAAACAACTTTGCACCAAATTAAGGAATCTGCACAAGTAAATGCAATAGTTCAAAGAAAAGATAGATCGAAATTATAATTAAGAATCAGCGAACATAACAATTAGATTCTCATCACTGCTTGCGACATATGCAATTCAATTGACAAGCTTGGTTGACAAATTGCAATCATCAATTCGATTTCATATGTCGCATAGAGACATGATTATCTCCAATCTGCGCACCGAATCTCGCTGCCAAACACCGTGCCACTCCAACGATTTTACATTAGCTTTCTATCGCTCACGCCAAATCGTGCTTGAATTTCAGTTTACCGCAACCACAAATCAGCGACTGATTCGTGTCAGCTCCTGCTTTCAGTTTTGCTTTGCATATTGAAACTGCTTTTTGCACCGCACAATTTATATTTTTGAATGTAAATTACGTCGCCTCAATTATTGAGCATGAATAGGAAGGACGTAGAAAGGAGAAAGGAGAGAGGAGAGAAAACCTTGTTAAAGAATAAGTTTCGAATGATTAGTGAGACTTTCAAGATTATATAAGCGTTTTTCTTGCAAGAGGTAATTAGCTATTTTCTATTTATAATTAACTAATGGAAATATCAGTAACAGTATACATGTTTTATTTCAAACAAATGCTCCTCTCTGGAAAATATTCTTGACCTCAAAATGCAACGAAGGATATTTTTTCTTAAAATTATAGCAGATCTCCAAGATTGCCTTTTTGGGAAGTTGATGTTTCTTGCCCAAAATATTAGTTAGTGCAGCTTTTTTTTTCTTTTTAAAGTCATTTTGTCTTACAATGGCCTCAAGTCACCCGGTACCCATCTTAGACTATTCATCAGTTTGAGAATGGTAACTTATAGAAAGTTGAATCAAACCCCTTGAAAGTCATAATAAGATCTTGTCAAAACTAGCTCACAAAAACAAAATCCCTATCACTGGTTAAGGTGTCTAGAAATCCACATGAAGCTTAAATATTTATGCAAGAAGGATTAAGTTATTTCCCTAACAAAATGAGGGTGTGACAAGGTCATCATGAAGTAAGTAGCCTTGCTTAATTTGTCCACAACTACAAAAGTAACCAGCTTGTTGTAAGAATTAGGCAAACCTTCTATAAATTTCATAGTGATGAGTTGCCTACATGTTCAATGATTGGTAAAGATTACAATAGTCTAGGGCTGACTGAAGTATTATACTTATACTACTAACATATATAAACTAGTCGTGAATGAAATGTTTCACATCATTGATTAATCCTTTTCAAAAACTTGTACTCTCTTTAGGGTTACACTTATCCAGAATGTCCACTAGTAGCATATGCACTCTAGATATACTTTTTAGAATAAAATCATTCTCTACCACTAACTTTCCTTTTATTCTCCATTATACTAGTTGTAATGTTTACGAAGAGCTAAGTTTTCATTTCTAGATTAATAATCAAATATATTTTGTCCACTAAACATGATTAAACAATTTTATACAAGAAAAAAATGTAATAATTAGAAGAAATTAAGATTATATTTTGGAGGAGCATTGATAAAAATATGTATTTTGAAAGGTGCATATTAAAAATTATTTGTATTAGAAAAAGTTATGAGTACGACAGATCAAAATTTAAGAAGTGGGGACATCCTAAATCTCGTAAGGATATTATATGCTGAAATCGTCCGCTGAACAATTACTTTAAAAATTAGTGTATTATTTCTAAAAAAGAAACATGCCAATACATTGAATGCAATACAATATAATAAGACAATGATGATACGTTGATCTATTATGTTGGAAGTAAATTTAAATTTTGAATCATAAATTATGGTGCATCTTTCTATGGTTCTCTTTGCAAATACTTAATAAAAAATTTCAAAAATTTTGACAAAGTTCGTCTAATAAATTATGAAACTTTAGTCATCACAAACATGAAAAATATAAATTTTACAATTTTTATTGATATAGTCTAGATATATTTTAGATATATTTCAAAACTCAGATAAATACAAGTTTCTTTTGGACAATTTGTATAACCTCAAATTTATTAAGTGTATTTAGCTTCAATAGGACCAACAGATTTCTCACTATTATCAACAAATTTTTTATCAAGCATTATCACTTACTCACAACATTACCACTCACACTACTCACATCACTATTACATAACAAGAAATCATCAATTCTATTTTCCTTAAATACTAACAATCACATATTTTTATTTTATTTGTTATTGTCACAATTATTCTTAGCCCTAAATAAATGAATAGTCTCATTTTTTTTTATCTATCTTTGAGCTTATTAGTTGAGGTTTTCCTACAATTGGCAGTCGTATGACGAATTATCTTGCATCTGTCACAAAAGTTTGGGAGACTTTCATAGGTCAATGAAGCGAAGAAAGCAAAATCTTCTAGTTCTACCAAAATTTGATCGATGGTGAATTTTTCAAACCAGCATCCATTAACACACGGGGAAAGAGCCCGTTATTTTGTTCTACAATGCAGTCATCCAACACAATGACTTTCCAGTGCCCTAGTGGTTTCAAAAGAAACCCTAATTTTTCACGTCACTCTTTGACTTAGCGGAACCGCACGAGCAATTTGAATAACTTCCGTGTAAAAGTTCTTTTCTGAATTTTGGAAGATCGTGGAATAGTAGACATACTATTATTAGGCAGCAAGCAACGATCATCATCCTCTAAAAATTTCCAAGGCATTGTGAAACCCGCCGGAGGCAAGGGAACCTCACGCATTCCAAGAGAGCTGTCAAAACCCTTATCTCAAATATTATCTCTGTTTTCTATTATTCTATTATAATTCTAATTAAAGACTGATTTAATTAGTGTTATTAACTGGTAAGACTAATATTAACTTCTAATCTTATAGCTTATTAAAATATATTTTTGAAAAATTATGTTTATACTTTAATAAATAATATGATATCAATTAAAATATTATTAATTGAATAGTAAATAGAATAATTTACTAATAAAAATTAATCAATTGATATTTATTAATACATAAATTCATTTTATTTTAATAAATTAATATTTATTGATTAAAAAAATAAAAATAAAAATATTTGCTTATTAACAACTAATAGATTAATGTTTATAAATAACATAATTAATGGATTAATATATATATTAATTTAATATTAAAATAATTATATTTATTCAATACATAACTAATATATTTATAATTCTTAATTTAATAGATTAAATAGTTAATAAATTCATATTCATTAATTAAATAAATAATATATTAATATTTATTTATTATAAAATTAATAAATTAATATTTACTATATAAATATATAATAATTAACACATTAATGATAGACTCATTAAGATTTTTTATTTTTTTAAAATTAATTTATCGATGGACACTTTAATATTATTGATGATTTTGTTTTTTATTTATTTTGCCGCGAATGGATTGAGATTTCGACGGATTGAAAGGTGGATAAGTTTTCAATGAAAGGAGGATAATTTTTTTCGGAGGGATTTACTTCTGTTGATAAAGCTTTCCGTAGTGTAAACCAGAGATGGAGGGACCTTTGGGATGACACGTCTCTCAAAATTATTACTTTTAAAAAATAAATAAAATTTAATTTTCTATTTTATTTATTAATATTTTTCTCTCCTTGTTGAAAAATACTCACAATAATAAATATCAATTTTTTTTTTATATTTTTCACAAAATTTGTCAGATAGTTTTCTTTGTCATTTACTTCTCCACTCTATTTTACCTTTTCTTTCTCTCCATTTACTTTTCTCTATTACTTTATTTCAAATGAATCATAATTAATAATTTGAGGAGGATCAAAATAATATATAAAAGCAAATAAAAGAAAAAAAATAAAACATAAGAGAATATAATTAAAATTAACTTTTTTATTTAATATATTTAATTATATATGTAAAAAAATTCAGTGGATTTAATTATATATATAATTTTTTTTATTTAATATAAATTATTATATATAAATATTTAAAAAATTTACATCATTCAAAATTATAAATATATAAATAATTTAAAAAATAAAAAACATAATCTTGGTATCAATTAAGACCCACCCGTAACAATATCAATATTGTAAGTTCTCTAGTTTTATCACAACTCTTTTACTGTTTCATATTATTTATTGGATAAAGTTATAAATTATTTTCTTTAATTTTTTTCTCTTTTATTCATGCGGGACCTAAACAAAAGAATTTAAAAAATAAAGAAAATAATTATAATATTTCTCTACAAGTAATTTTTTTTATTATTTGTTTTTATATTATATATTTATTTATATTGATTTTAAATATTAATTAATGACTTATAATTTTTATTAATTTTATATAATATTTTTTTTCATAATAATTAATTTTGATATACATATACTAACTAATTTTAATATATATAAATTAAATTTATTTTATGATAAGTAAAAATACATATTAAAAAAATGTTATTGAAGTGTAGGAATTTTTGTAAGGTATCTGTTGATATTTTCCTCCTTATAATGAAAATGTAATACGTGTTAATAAATGTAAAATCATTATTTTACTAAAATAATTGCCTTATAACATAAATAATATATAATTACATTATTTGACCACAGAAGCAACTGTTTATGGTGTTTCCTTTCACTGCTACAGTATAAGACCGTTATCATACATACAAAACCGTTCTTCATGTCATAATACTACAGTTTTTGGTGTTACCTTATCAAGATACAATTACTATTGTTGATCGCTCACAAAATTGTTCTCTACGCAATACAAAGGATAATGATTTTATTGGTATTATTATTATTATTTTTTAAAACAAATGCATTTAAAGATTATTTAGTTGCCCCTTAAATACTACATATTCTAAAACCGTTTTCATAGAATAATAGAATCATGTTTAATTCTTTTAATGTGTAATAATAGATGAAAGATGTTGTAGTGAGATATTAATACGGGGCCATATTTATTTTCTCCAATAATGTTTCTCCTTTGTATACCTATTTAACCATATCATATGTTATACATAGATAATACTAAGGGATACAATTGTATATATAAAAAAAATATATATATTGCATAAAAAACCTTGAAAATTGGTTGACCCTTAGAGTTCAATGGCGGCCCCTACGCGGTTGCCTTGGGTTATCTTTTCCCTGCCTCCTCTTGTTTCTTCCTCTGTCTGTTTCCTTCTTGAAATGTTATAAAGGCAAGACACAAACAACCAACGCACAGATAAGAAGCAAAGCAAAAGGCTGCACTGCCCCTCAAAGACATCAAACATTTAGTGAATTTGAAGGCCAAAAAACACATGGAAGTATTTAAGATTCTTTTTGTCTTCCTCATGACTCTGCTTCTTGTGCTCAAGGTCGCACTCTCTTTCTGGTGGAGTCCAAGGAAAATTGAAGGACATTTCTCTAACCAAGGAATCAGAGGACCCCCTTATCGTTTCTTCATTGGAAATGTGAAAGAACTTGTGGGAATGATGATGAAAGCTTCCTCTCAACCCATGCCTTTCTCTCACAATATTCTCCCTAGAGTCCTTTCCTTCTACCATCACTGGAAGAAAATTTACGGTACTTCAACTTTCTTTTAATCATCATTCCTACCTCTTCAAATTTCTTCCCCCCTCTCCCACATACTCTGCTAATCTCCTTCGTACACACACATACATTGTCTTCAATCTTGGCCTCGTTGCCTCTTCTAGGAAATCCAAAAGAGCAAATATGCACTTGGTTGCATGAATATTTTTCAGACCCCTTTTCAGCCATGTTGTTTCTCTTAAAAACATTTGTTTCTTTTGCTACTTTTATGGTTCTGCTTCGAGAAATTTGAGACTTTTCAAGGCCTCATTTCCGGAGTAAGGTTGCGTCTTTTTGCAACCCTTTCTAGCTTTTCTTTTCCTCAAGCAGCTGTTCATTGCACCACCTCGTTTCTCTATCAACTTCTTTTTCTTCTTTTCTCATCTCTACTGTATTTCTCTCTGTTTTCTTCTTTCTCTTTCACGCCTCTGATACAATTTTTTTATTTTATTAATCAAATAAAGCCCAAAGTTTTAAAAATGACTTGGATTTTAACCACAACACCGGCATTTCCAAGTTTTTTGACTCACTAGGCAATCACAATTGTGATTATGCTAGCCATATTTATCCATAACTTCCTGCAAGTGTGAGTAATGTTGACAATGACCGCTGCAATTTAAAACCTTAATAAAACTCAACTTCTGTATGTTAATCATATATTTATTAGGAACTGACCCTGTCCAGTATACATGTCAGTTGCACAAAATTAAGGTAGCCATTATTCTTAGTTTATTTTGATATAAAAAAAATACCCAGGTTATTAATGAACCATTCTTACTTAATACAGTGATAATGTTTATGATATATTAAGTTCAATTTGTTGAATGCCAAGTTGTCATCCGATTCTGCGCTCTTTCCCATGTCTTATTTTTCTTGTGTTGTTATATGGGGAATTGAATTGTGACAATGTAGTTGTATATGTTTGGTAACCGTTTTTAAATTGACTTGTCTTCTTCAATTCCCTCCTCCTCCTGTTTTTTGCCACCTCTCTGTTAATGTCTCTGTGCTGTAGGGTCTACACCGTCCTTGCATCCTCTGAAACCAACGGTTGTCATGTTTCCTGCTTCTTTCATCATTTTACAAACTTTACACTTCCTACATAAGGCTCTGTGATAGTTCCACCTTCATGTAAAAATGTCTCAATATTTTTCCTATCATATAAAAAAATATCCCCATTAAAGCAAAATTACAAATACTTGTCTTGCTTCAATATTACCATTCAATTGCAAAATTACAGGGTCAGACAGTTGATTAATTAGTTCAAATCTCATTATATTTGATAAAGGTGCAACATTCCTTGTTTGGTTTGGACCCACTGTTCGAGTCACCATCTCTGATCCAGACCTCATCCGGGAAATCTTCACCTCCAAGTCAGAATTCTATGAGAAAAACGAATCTCCCCCACTTGTGAAGCAGCTTGAAGGTGATGGACTTCTTAGCCTCAAAGGAGAAAAATGGGCTCACCACCGAAGAATCATCTCTCCCACCTTTCATATGGAGAATCTCAAAGTAATTCACAGCAATATATATTATATGAAACTGATCATGTACCCATTTTTATTTTATTTTAATGGCAATTTTATCTCCATCTTTCTAGTTGCTGATACCGATTGTGGCAACAAGCGTGGTTGAGATGTTGGAGAAGTGGAAGACAATGGGCGGGAAGGGTGAGGTGGAAATCGAAGTTTCGGAGTGTTTTCAAACCTTAACAGAAGATATCATTACTAGGACAGCGTTTGGAAGCAGCTACAAAGATGGAAAAGCCGTTTTCCGGTTACAAGCCCAACAAATGGTCCTAGCAGCAGATGCCTTCCAAAAAGTGTTCATTCCAGGTTATAGGTACTTGGCTTTAACAATCCTTGTCTAATTTATTAGAGTAATCCCATTCCATACTCAATTATAACTTTTTGTTTTGTTTTTCATGGGTTGAGTTAGATTCTTTCCCACAAGAAGGAATATAAATTCTTGGAAATTGGACAAGGAAATGAAGAAATCGTTGGTGAAGCTCATCGATCGACGAAAAGAGAATGCGTGTGGGAATGAAGATATGAAAGGGCCGAAGGATTTGCTGGGGCTTATGATTCGGGCTTCGGACACCACCTCCAATGTGAAGAACGTAACGGTCGATGACATTGTGGAAGAGTGCAAGACTTTTTTCTTTGCAGGCAAACACACAACTTCGAACCTGCTGACGTGGACCACGATTCTGCTTGCTATGCACCCGCAGTGGCAAGTACGGGCACGTGAGGAGCTCGTGATGGTGTGCGGTGCACGTGACATCCCCACCAAAGACCATCTAGCCAAGCTTAAGACAGTAAGCAACTGTGCAAAATCACATACCATCTTTATCCAACCCCTCTCCACTTTGTTCGTTTTGGATTCGGACAAAAATCATGTTTTGTCTCTTTGGCCCTTGTTTTCTGTGTTGCTTTCCTCACACAAGGAAACCCAACTGCGGCCCTTTTCGCTTTTCTGTTTCCTATCTGAAGGAAGCATGTTGGGGCAGTGCTGTTGTTTCCCCCTTACAAATTTTGTTTTCGTTTAACAAACGTTTGTTGCAGAAATTACAAAAATTGCTTTAAAATTGTCGAATCTTTTCAGGCTCATCAAATTGTGGAATCTTTTCTGGGTCATCAAATTGTCGATTCTCCCATCAAACACTTACTACTTTATAGCTTGTATGCTACAAAATAAATGTTTCATTTTAGTTTAATAAATAAATATGTTTCAACATATGAATTGTATTTTAAATTTATAGAGTTATTTTTAAATAATTAAAAAAAAAAACATATAAAAGATAATAATAGTGATTGCAAGTAATTGCTATTTTCACGATGGACTCTTGTTATTTGATATTTGCAGCTGACTATGATCGTGAATGAGTCTCTGAGACTGTATCCTCCCACAATCGCCACCATCAGAAGGGCGAAAGCTGACGTGGAGCTAGGGGCGTACAAGATCCCGTGCGGGACGGAGCTCCTCATCCCCATCCTGGCCGTTCATCACGATCAGGCCACGTGGGGAAGCGACGCGACCGAGTTCAATCCTGGCCGTTTCTCCAACGGCGTGTCCCGCGCCGCGCTCCACCCTTTCGCTTTCATCCCCTTCGGCCTCGGTGCGCGTACCTGCATCGGGCAGAACCTCGCGCTTCTTCAGACCAAACTCACCCTCGCCATCATGCTTACCCGTTTCACTTTCAAATTGGCCCCGACCTATCGCCACGCGCCAACGGTCCTCATGCTGCTCTACCCTCAGTATGGGGCGCCAATCATTTTCCAACCCATAGCCACCACCGCAACCACTGCGGATTGTTCCTGATCATGGGTTACTGTCCTTGTTTGTGTAGATTGAGTGTATATTGGCTTGAGTTTGGAGATCAAACCCTCTCTTCTGGCTTTTTACCTTGAGAGTCGAAGAATCAAAATAATATATCTATGGATTCGGTTTTATATTATCGAGGGTTTCCAAGACATTTTTAAAAGTTAAAAAATGCACAGATGGTTTATGTTACTTGGACCAATTGCAATCACAATGCCGTAACGAATATTCTCCTACAATTTTAGTCTTCAACGATGCACCAATATAAAAATGTCTCGTTCGACACCAGCGTTGAAAATGTATTTATCACTAAAAAAAGTTTATTTGAATACTTTTGGATCATAAAAAACTGTTTATCATTAATTTTCGCGATAAATAATATTAATTAACTCTATTAGTTTTCGCCTGTCACACATTAAATGGCATGTCCATTATCACGAAACCTTCTATGTGGTTGTCCATTAAATGGCATGAATATTGCATTAATGGTTGAGATTTTTCTTTTATGATTTTAATTATTTATAATTCAGTATAATCAATTGTAATTGAGATGGTTCGGTTGAATATGATTAATTACATCGTGAATGAATTGAAGGTTTATGTTGTTTATTATTTTTACATAAATTTCATAGTGCTATTTTTTTTTTAATATATTAGACAAAAAACTCAACGGTCCCCTAATTTAACTATTTGTTTATTGGAAATTAATTGAATAAATGTTAAGTCATTAATGCTCAGGGTATGATCTAGGTTTATAGGATATTTTCATGTTAAGAATTGTATGCTCCACTTAGGTGACAAAATGTCTTTTGATCCATTGTCACATGGCCATAGGATTCATTTGTCTTAATTTTAAGCTTAATAGGCTTTTCCTTAATGACACCATGTCTAATAATTAGTCTTACCAATCTATATCTCATTTAAATAATAATTGATTATAACATAAGATGAAAATTGTTTAATGTATCTGATTAAATATTTTGAAATCAAATGTAGGGTGCCATAGAAAATAGAAGAAGAAATAAAGAAATCTTCCAGGGAGTCTTAACTAGAAGCAAAATAAAGAGCTTCCATAAGTTATCTTTCATTTTTTAATCTTTACAAGCATAGATCTAAGTGTTTTTTTCTAGTTTTCTCTCAAATTCTTAGTTTTAACTTTTTAATTTCCTTGTATTCTTCAATTTATTCAATCAAGTTCTTTAATTAAAGCTCTTCTGTATTATATTTATTTTATTCTCAAATTCATGTAATTTACATTCTTTACTGTTTTCTATTGTTTTGTTATAACTTTCTAAATTCCTAAAGTTAGTTTTCTTATATGAATTTTATATCATTGATTGACATTTGATTCTTTAATGATTTCAACTTTTCATAATTTAATATAATCAATTGTTATTGAGATTACTAAGTTGAATTTGATCAATTACAACATGAATCAATTATGAACTTATGTGATTATTTTTCTTAGAGTTAAGTCATCATGTCTATAAATCAATTGAATACAATGAATAAATTAGATCTTGTAATTTGAAGTATGAATGATTAAAATTCATATAGATCTATATTATAGTTACATATTAGCTGTAGATAATAAATGATAATTAATAAAGAAAAAGAATTATTAGAAAATTAACCACTGTTATTATAATTTTTTTTTCATTTCTACTATTTTATTAGATAATAGATTTGAAACCATACAAATACCCAAAACATAACTCTTTGAATATTGAAAATTAAATAAAGAATAAGTCACTAACGTTCTTTGAAAATATGATCTAAGTTTTTTTCTAATTACTACATGTTTTCATGTTAATAATTGTTTGATTTGTTTAGGCAACAAAACATGTTTTGATTAAAATGGTGCCATTGTTGAGTAATTGATATTATTCCAGGTTTTAGATTGAAATTAAAAGAGCTAGGTAAATTTTTCATACATATATTTTCGGTTATTTTCCTTTTCTGTTAAAAATGTATAATTGTAAAAAAAATAATTCAACATTGAAACCATTTTGCTAAACGAGGACCTATTCACTCAACATATTTTTGTGGATTTTGTTTGATTTGTTTAAATATATGCCAAATTTCACCATTTTTTTTTCTATTTTGCTCAATAGATTCATTATTTGCTCATTGAAATTAACTTTTCTCTCTATCCATTACTGATTTTTCCAGTTTTTTGTATATTTTTTTTCTATTTTTACATTTGTGGTTGAATACTTATATATTGATAAATATTGGTAATTCGATCTAGAAATTGAAAATAGTTTCCATAAACTAAAAAAAAAGAAAAATATAAACTCATAATTTATTTTTTCATCCATAGAATTCATTCTAAACAAAAAATATGGGTGGAAGGACATATGTAACTTGTCATACTTTGTACATCTAAATGATGTGTCTTTTATACTTAAAACTAGATTAATACATTTGTTACCTAGATTTTATGGCCTTGCAAGTGAAAATCCTCATAGACACCTTAATGAATTTCATATAGCTTGTTATGCATTGAGACCTTAGTGATTGTCATATGAAGATTAAAACATTTTTGTTTTCACTACACTATAGGGTCAAGGACTAGTTGAACTATTTGTCACGGGGATCCATCACTACATAGGATAATTTAAAGGGATTATTCTTGGAGAATTTCTTTATAGTATTTATAGCTACTCCCATTAGGAAAAAAATTTGTGGCATTGGAAACTAAATAGAAAGCTTGGTTAGTATTGGGAATGTTTCCAAAGACTATGTGCAAATTATCTTCACAACCAAATTAGTGAACAACTATCATGTATGAAAGTATGATATGTTGCTAGTGGTGGAACTCTTGCAAATTAAGCTCCTATACTGCCAAAACAATTGATAAAAATCATGTCCACTTGTTCACAATTTTTTTTAACTAGAGATGTTAGAAGCAATTTTAAGTTTCAAACTAGTTCATAGGAGAAGAAATACACCACTTATTCAACTTGGTCAAACAATTGACACATGAACAAAAACACACTACTTATCCAACTTGGTGAAACAATTGAAACATGAGCAAACACACTCTCCACCATAAAGTTTGTCACAACAAATTTTTCATCTGGATGAAGCTATGTGTAGGATTTACACTTCATCTTCACATGCCACTCGTTAATGCTTGATTTTCAAAGCTTGTCTAATTCACAAGATTCCCAAGCTTTTGTTATTACATATTTAATAGATTGCCTCCACAACACATAACAAAATGTATTCTATAATATATGCACTCTTAATTGGAAGAATCATCAAAATTTGAAGTGGGAAAATAATACAAACACTTTGAAAAAGCTTAAGTATTAACCTCCACTACCTAATTATCCACAACATCCACCAAAACAATAATTTTATTTACACTAAAATACCTCCATAATCCCACCAACCATATAAAAATCAAAGCCAAAATCATAACCAACAATTGGACATTCAATGCATACCTTCTCTAGTATTGAAATTTACCATCCTTAGAAGGGTTGATGAGGAAAATGAAAATGAATACAATATAATTTCAACAAATGATCGAAGCTAGTATTAAATATTTGGAAGCTGAAGGTGGACATGGGATGAGATTCTTTTAGTTATACTTCTCTAATTATATTTGGAAACTTTATCTTCCTAGTAGATTTCTACATATTTAACATGTGAGGTGATTCTTTCATTGATACTCCTCCAATCATGTTGGGAAGACCTCCAATCAACCGAGGTTAAATTCAAACAACGAATAACTCATTGAATTTTAATGATAAATGTTGATGGTGGTGCATTAACAAAGGAGTTTGGTGATAACATAATCAAATTGGATATTTTAGATGCATTTAAGTATTCTCTAAGAGGACATTTTAAATGAATTGATTGTTAAGAACATTGTCACCACTTTCCTTGACACTAGACGTATAATTGTGTTAGAGGAAAACTATGAAATAAATACTAGTGAAAATGGGTCCAATGGTTAATGATAATTTTGTAAAAATGTTGGGTCGAATGGTTAATGATAATTTTGTGAAAACATTGACTGATAAAATATGTAAATTGATTTCTGTTTCCTAAACATATTGTCCCTAATTATATTAGAGAGAAATATGTTGTGCTACCCAATCTTATTGTGTTCTTTTAATAAATCATATGATGAATCTTGTTCAAAATTGATCTTGAGGAGTGATTAATGTCTGAATGACGTATATGGTGAGTCTAATGTACATGAAAATTAGTTCATTATAAGGTAAATAGATTTTATTATTTGTAGGTAAATGTTTTGTTGTTTATCATTAATTGTGGATTTTTTCATAAGCAATTATTACATGCATGAAATTTATTGATAATTATTAAAGATAATATTTTTGTTAATAATTATCAAATGTTATGTTTTTGTTGGTAATTATTAAATAACATTTTGTTGATGTTATAAGACCTTTAATGACTAATTTCACTAAGAATGTTAATAAATTTTTGTTATTAACTATAGGTTTTGTTTGTAGTTAATATATTATTTTCAAGTGGGAGTAGATATACTCATAGTTTTGATGGGTTTGAGATTATAAATAAAGGATTATTTTGGTGTGGGAAGAAATTGCTTTTTGTATTTTATATGACTTCAATGTGGACAGTGAGTTGGTTTGATCCCTAGTTTGTATTTAATATTGAAAAAAAAAAAAGCTTAACTTGTTGAGAATTTAAGTGTGAGTTTTAAATCACACATTGAGTAGAAATGAGAAAGTTCAGTAACTTATAAATGAGAAAGACCCATAACCTAATGCCTTAAGGTTTTTGGTTGAAGGTGGTGTCATACTCTCTTATATAGTTGACCCATGATCCATTTGTGAGAATTGTTGTTTGCCCCCTCGAAAATACCTTAAATAACTTATGAGTGTTTAGAGGTGACATTTGTGCAACTCTTGACAAGTTATTATGCAAAGTTAAAAAAATAGGTTTAGATAAATATAATTTCAAAATGAATGAATAGTTATTCTCATTCTCCACCTTTT